TCTTTTTTGTTATTCATGGTTTGCGTCCAATAGTTTCAAACTATTTTTGGACATTTATTTGAAGGAGATGTAGAAATTACAGGAAATTAGGGAGATATAGGTCCCTGCAATAAGTGTAATGAAAGTGTGTTTTTTATGTCCACTGAGGCAATTTTGGTTTAAGATTATATGTATTTTACATGTTTTTATCCATATTATTTCATTATATAGTGTAGTATACTGCACATATTTTACATGCTTCTTACCAGTAATATTTATATATTCTTCACTGGAGCAACTCTAACAAAACTCAATTTCTCCCAGGGATCAATAAACTATTTTCGATTCTGCAACTACACCCAGAAAGAGGGTGTGTGTGTGTGTTGGGGAGGGGATGGAGAGTGTTGTGTCCCCATTGAGCCACACACGGCCATTAAAGCCCTTTGTGCTGGCGCACAGTAGAAAGAAGGCAGCCATTGGCCGTCAGATGAAAACCTTGAGCGGGTGGAGGGTCGGTGAAGGTGGGTGTCAAAAGCAGGGCCGTTAGGAAGGAAATCAAGAAGCCATCAGACTTGTTTGTGGGAGACGATTGTGCTGCTCAACAGGAGGTGCGGCTCTTAAATTCCACTCTTATTATTTCATCAGTCGGGTGAGTGGCTGAGATTTTAAAGTTTAGATATCATGTGTTTTCTTTAAACAACATTATTATTATTATTATTATTATTATTATTATTATTATTAAGCAGTAAATCCCTCTATAGCTGAGAAGGTGGACAAGACGAGAGCCTTCATTTTTTTAATCCTTTTTTTCCCCCATCCCCCAGATCCAGGACACTGATACCTCCTGAACATGACTGTAAAAGGCCCTTGAGGTTCATTGATAGTGAATTTTAAGTCTCTATAAGAGATTCCTTCAAATTCAATGAATCTGAACCATATTTTACACAATGATAGATATCAGTTCCCTCAATATGTAGGGGTTAGGTTATGCCCCAAACATTTTACAAAACTTTAGTAGTATTTCCTTAATCTTGCTTAGAAACAAACATACAAATGAAAAATCCTTGGCAGAGGTAACAACAGCTCAACAAAACCTGCTCAGGGTTCACATCAGCAAGTTTCCTGCAAAAATTTAAAAAGCCCCACATGCAAACAAAGCACTTGTACGCCCACAATATTTCCATTAAATGTACAGTGTGGTTAGAAGAAGAGTGAGTGGCAATGATTGTGCAGCTGCAGTCTCACAGCGTTATTTTGGTCATGTCAGAGGTGCAGCGTTGTTTCTTCTCTAGTGTGACTCTAGTCTACTTCACCAGCAGGCTTTCTTCTATTTCCTTTATCTCAACCCCCCACCCCCCTCAGCTGTTTGACTGGACCTGATCTGCGGGTAGTGAGCAGACCTCTGAGGTGTTCTGAAGAGGCCACTTAAAAAGAACTGAAGACAAGACCTGAGACATCTGAAAAAGGCGGTGGGGGGGCAGATACTCCCCTCACACATCTCCTCCTCACTGTACCCAGCTATTCAAGTCTGACCCCTCCACCCCGAGAGAGTTGTGCTCCACTGCCCCTTTCTCTCTCTCTGAAGCACGGCCTAAAGTCTACCATCTCTCTTGCTGTCCTGTCTTTTGCATGACAATTATACCCCCAAGTCCATGGCCCAGGACAATGCTTGCATGGCTGAGGTTTGATGTCTTTTAAGCTTTTGACAAGGGCCCTTGTGGTATCCCCTAGGTCCCCTGATCCTTGACCTACATGGGTGCTTTATCAGAGGACAGAGAGAAGCATGATCTGCTGGTTAGGGAGGATTTTTAAAAGTAACTCTGGCCAATGGCACTTCACAAGGACACCATAAGGGCACGATATAAATTTGAGGTGTAACATATTTATAGATTTCTGTCTGGCATCTGCTTTGTCATAATTTTCTGGTGTTTATCCTTTTTATTCAGACTTGTATTTTTTGTCACAGAGAAATTTTACATATATTTACAAAAAAGGAAACATCAAGGAAACAGCAACGTCCTCAGTACAATTTATAAGTTGATCAAATGCCAGCGCTCAAGTGTTTTTTACTATATATCAAATCATTGTAGTTTTTTTAAGGTCACTGGGATTTGTGGTTTGGTAGAAAACTTCGAGGCGGCTGTTGTAATCAGTGTCCAATAGAACTACTGATGTGAACTGGGAAGTTTATAATATACACAACAGATTTACAATTCACATCAATATTTAAACCAATAATAATTCTATAAAATGAGAAATTAAATGTGAGATATTATCTGATCCTTGTACAGGAGTCAGGCACCACTCCATTATTAAAGGCCAGGAGGTAAAACTTCCGAAGAATCTGAAAATGAATATGATAGACTGTTATTTCAGGCTGGACTCCACCAATATGCATAATTGCATAAGTTTTCTTCACAACTTGGGTATTGCACCTGCAGACAACACCGTGCTCCTCAGACCAGTTTTGGACCTTAAGGGCTTTTCTGCGCAGACCAGAGTGAAACTTGTGTCTGGTGTTTGTTTCAGGGGGAGGAGGAGGATGAGGATGAGGAGGGGGATGTGGTGGGTGTGGGGCGGAATCAAAGAGTTGAGACTTATTGTTTCAATCTGAAAAGGAGCTAATGGTCGGCCATCGCAACTCGGCATCTGAAATCCACGGGGTGCCCCGGGGCCAGCTCGTACAATGGCACCCTCCCTCCCTCCCCGCAGTGCGTCTTCCTGCCGCAATCTGCGGCCAACGACTCTCGCTGGGGGGAGCGCATCTGCACCGGTGGATCGACCATCCAGGCTTTTCAATGAGGGAACGGGAGAAGTTCACCTGAATGATGTTGGTGGTTTTATCATCCAAAATCATCCGAAATCTAGAAAACTCTGTGCGTCCTCATCCAACCCAAACACATCCTGACAGTGCCCAGATCCAAAAGAATCCTCGGATCTTTATTAGATTCAAATCTCACTTTACATTTACTTTTTAAGGTGCAAAAACGTGTTTTATCTATTGAAAACTTGAACAAATAAAAATAACATTTAAATCATCATTAAAGTATTTGTTAGATCACATTGTTTCTAAATGGTTGGCTACAATTCACAGGCCATTTTCCTCTTTTAGACAGAATGATTTATGAGCTATCAAACATTGTTTTCAATTAATTAAGGTCATTTGCTTTATCACATTTATTCAGGGTGACAGGCTCACTTCATTTATTTAAACATTAGAGGTGATTTTAATATCAAAGCCATCTCCTTGAAGATAAATAATTCAAACAAGTCCAACATTGTGATTAATGTATGAGGTGAGCATGTTATAGTGTTACAGTATGAGTTTTGTGACCCGTGCCTACTTAGCAATGTAAACAAGTATTTTAATGTTGAATTAGTCTATTAAAGTTTTCCCGAGTTTCCTCAAAACCTTAGGTTGTAACTTTAAAAGCAGAATTTGTTCTTCAGCAAAAGAAGTTGCTCGGAGTTTGTGTGAAACCACGCCCACCACTCTGGGAGGAATCAAGGTCATTCACAAACTCACCGTCAGCTGTGCGCAATTGTCTGCGCCAGCCAATGGGCGAAGAGATAAGGCGCAATCCAAAACCCGTAGCTGTGCCCACGAAAACCTGTGGAGCCTTGGAGGAGAGCAGCATTTGAGCTTGACGGTGGAGCGGCGTGAAGGGCAAGGATTCATGGAGTAGGCCGGAGGCGTGTTGGTGGTAATGTGGCACCAAAACGACAGCTGCTAAGGCCTTTTGCAAAACTCTCCCCAAACGGACTTTACGCAAGCAAACAGTTGATGGAATTTTGGAGCGCGTCCTCCGCTCGTTCCTCTTTGACTTGTGCGTAAACTTGAAACGGATGTGCACGTTTAACTTTATTCCCATTAACTATTTCTTTTAAAACTTTCTATCTCGGACTTGTTCTTGTTAAATAATCTCCCACAGCGTTTGGAAGATGTCTGAAAGATCTCAGAGTCCGGAGTGCCAAAGCAGGCCGTATGACTTCAGCCGCGCCGGCCATTGCGCTCAGGTTTTGGGTCAAGATGGTTTGGGCAACGCTGCGTCATTCCAGCTTCCTCACGGCGTTTTGCCAGACCCGAGCCTCCTCTATAACAAAACGGCGTATGGTGGCATCACGTCGGCCTCTGCGCAGACTTTCTTCCCATTCCCACCCATGGCCAGTGACTACAGGGGAACCGACCTGCAGGCTGGGGAGTTTGGGCAACCCAAACACTGGTATCCCTTCGCTGCGCCCGAGTACACCGGCCAGGTACCCGGCGTAACAGCAGCTACCCAGCCTACTAACCTGAGTCCCCCTATGGCCGAGACCCGGGAGCAAATCAAAATGCCCGAGATCAAAACCGAGAAGGACACCGGCGATGACTACTCAACGGAGATCAAGGGTCAACAGTATCTGACACCGTCAGCCTCCGCCGCCATGGCTCATGGAGTCTTCTACCCCGCGGCCTGGAACCCGTCCTTCTGGCCTGGAATCGCCCACATCACCCCGCCCGGTATCAGTAATCAAAATCCTTCCACATCCTCTGCATCGTCGCCGTCTATGTCCCCTTCACCCCCGAGCAACGGGCTTCCAGGAAACGCGTTTTTCAGCGTGAACCCAACCCAAGCCGCCCCCGGGCCGCAGACGCAGAACCCGGCCTCCTCCACGCGGAGCAGCGGTTCCTCCAGCGGCGGATGCAGCGACTCAGAGGAGGTAAGATTAGAATCCCTTCAACCAACCATTTAATCCAACAGTTGTAATATGAGCCTTCAAGTCAAACACACATGTGTTCAACTTCTGTAAGTTCTACATCTATATGGTTTTCATTTTCAACCTGTCTCACAGGAGAACCTCTCCACTGAGGAACTGGAGCAGTTTGCCAAGGAACTGAAACACAAACGCATCACTTTGGGTTTCACTCAAGCTGATGTTGGCCTTGCCCTGGGTAACCTCTATGGTAAGTTTGGTTCCCATGTGGAAACGTCCTATTGGGTCATATTGCACTCCCTCCCTAATGCTTTCAAAGATTCTTATTTGAAGTAATAATGATGGACTTTCTAGTATTGGTTTTGTATGTTGCACAGTTCAGATTCTTATCTACGTCAGTAGAAGGTTACTTGTTATGTTTTGTGTGTTGAGGCAGGAGGTCACTGGTTTGGCAAAGTATCTCTGATTGCCACTCCTGAAATCTTGCTGAATCATCAGCCATCCAATGTGTTGAGATTTTTGGACAGATACATGTTGCATGAGTCTTGTCTATTCAGAGATAATGGCATGTGAAATCTGATGATTTATATTTGCGTGCAGGTAAGATGTTCAGCCAGACGACCATTTGCCGCTTCGAGGCTCTGCAGCTGAGCTTTAAGAACATGTGCAAGCTGAAACCCCTTCTTCAGAGATGGCTGAATGAGGCAGAGACCTCAGACAATCCCCAGGATGTAAGTCTGCAACACTGACATCTGCCAGCTAGTTTACAAGACAACAGATGATCCTTGAGCCTGATGGGATCAGTTGGTCTTTTCAGGCTGAGCTGACTTTAACCAAAGCACTTTGTTCTCAGGAAGTGTGACCTGCCATCTAGTGGCAACATTAATTTGGTCTCTTTAGAGATCACATGAAACATTATTTGAACCATAACCATCCATACAAGGCTTAAACCAAAAGGGACACAAATTGCTTCGGTACATAGGTAGTCCTAGTTGGGGCTTGTCATACCTTTTTTGTACATCTTACATATTCTCAAATTATGTGTTATTCCTCAGATGTACAAGATCGAGAGAGTGTTTGTTGACACCAGAAAGAGGAAGAGAAGGACTAGTCTGGAGGGGGCAGTGCGCTCTGCTCTGGAGTCCTACTTTATCAAGTGTCCCAAACCCAACACCCAGGAGATTACACACATTTCAGATGACCTGGGCCTTGAGAGAGACGTAAGAACAAAAGTGACGTAGTTTGCCTTCTAAAGTATGTGTCTTGTTGTGGTTGTAAACGAGAAATCTTGTTCTTGGCAGGTGGTGCGTGTTTGGTTCTGCAACCGGAGACAGAAAGGAAAACGACTGGCTTTGCCACTGGATGAGGAGTGCGACGGCCAGTATTACGAGCAGAGCCCTTCCCCACTGAACATGGCCCCTTCCCCCATCCCCAGTCAGAGCTACCCTGTGTCCAGCTACCCCGGAGCCACTCCTACCACACTGTACATGCCCCCCCTTCACCGGCCCGATGTCCTGAAACAGGCCCTTCACCCCGGACTTATTGGTCACATGACTGGATAAACACGCTCCGGTTGGCCTAGCCAATCCCGCAGATAACCTTCCCAAGCTTTTCTGTCAAAGGCCAACTCAAACTGGAGAGGGACGATCAGTGGATCACAGGACAAACCGTTCAAGGGAGGAGGATCTTTTTCCTGTTATTCTGAAACTACACAAATTGCATTGTCCACATCCTCTAACCATGACCAGAAACTCCACACCAACAATTTTGGATCAAGTCTTGGATTAAGCATAGTAAATCAATCCACTGGCTTTATTCAGTTCATGTTTAGAACAATTTAAGATTTAGCTTTGTACAGCAAAGGCAAGTTATGGAATGATGTAAAGAACCTGAACGTTCCTTCCACTTATACTAAATCCTGGGTAGGTTTTCTGGGGGTGCAGGTGAGAACAGGTCTAGGTTATCAAGAGAACCAAAATGTGAGTAATAGAATTATTTTTTTAGAGTTGGGTCAGTATTTTGTGCCATACTTGTCACCAATCTGAAAAGAGCAGCTACGGTATTTGTCTTCCATTTGAAATGGAGAACAGTTTCTTATTGGGGTTAATTTTTTTCCATATTATTTTGCACAAAGTTGCTTTTGTAATGTTGAACATTCTTTTCAAAAATGTTCCCGTTTGTTTACCAAACCAATTTTTTTGTCTTATAGTTGTTGGTTGTCATCGACATCTTGAGCAAGTATTTTTGGCAGCGATGGAGGGATTCAAAGTAATATTTTGATGAAATGTGAAGAATCTTTTGTTCAGTGTCTTAGCTGCTAAATCTGCCATTTGCACTCTGTCAATATTTTCTCTTCATGTCTCAGGTGAGTGGCAGTGAGATAAATATCCGACCTGACTCAGCTATCGCCAATGTGACTGACTGTGTTCTTTATTCCCACCCTATTGTAAAGGTTTTTATGTTAATGTTGAAATTACACCGTGTCAAGTGCTCACTGAAATATATTTTAAGAAGTTGCTTTTTAGTGGAATGATCATAGTTTTAGAAAGAAGACATCAAATGTCTCATTCTGCTTCAAAATACCTCACATGACTGAAGTCCCTAAGTGACCATCAAATCAACTTGGAGATGTCACATTAACATTGGACTAATCTCTAACTTTTAATATAACACGTTGTCTCGACAGATTGTAAATGGATTCATTATAATTTATTGAAATGTTGGCTAAGCTGAGATGTTTTGACTGTAACCACCTGAGACCTAAATGTAAAACGGACACTTTTATTTGAAAAATTGTATATGCAAACTACCAAATTGTTCTTTTTCCCAGTAAATCTTTGCACATGTCCCACCAAAAGTAAATTGTCCTGTATTCTGTGCCTCTTTAGTCCTTCACTAGACCAGTGTGGACTTACAATCCACTTTGTCTGAATAATATGAATTATGAATAATTATTAAGAGAGTGAGCTGGTTTATTTGATCTATATGAGGCATGTCTGAAAACTGATTTTGAAAGAGGAGAAAGACAAAATAAACAGGAAGGAAATGCAAGAGACAAACACAGTGTTGTCATGCAATATGTGCTTATCACTGAATCTTGATGCTGAGGCGGTGCAGAGTAGTGTCATCACTTCCAGGCTTTGTAACTATTTGTACCTTTCCATTAGTCACCTCTTCCTCACATCTTCACACTCACATAGGCAATGTATCATCCGCCGCTCGCTTTGGACCAGTCTTGGGCAGAGTGGCTAATCAAGGGACGATCCCTAATGACCTTGTCTGATTGCTGTGCCACGAGGGCCTGTGACAACTTTGGTGAACATAACATAAAGTATAGATGATCGTATAACAGCTTTCAGCACCAGACCAAGTTAAGCAGGTATAAGTCTCCCTGGGTGCATGAGACATGTGACCCTCTGCCTACTGGGCTGAATATGAGGCCCCCTGTGTTTCTGTCTGATGCTGCCACTGCCACGCTTCATCTTAGGGACTTGTGCATCCCCTCTTTATGGTGTGTTTTTGACCTGATATGCAGGGTGACTTGTGGGAACATTTACACAGGACTGTGCTTTTCTAATTCATAACCAGTTAAGTGGACTTGCCAGTGGTGGATCTTATGGATAATTAAAGCAAACTGAACGCTTCTGATCACAAGTAGAATTGTCACAGAAAATTATCTGAATACTTCTGTATGTAAGGGATTACTGATAAATCTGTGAAATGTCTCCAGGATGTGATTTATCATATTTCTACAAGTAAAATTCACTTTGCACAAATTCTCTTTATTCAAGCAGCACAGCAAAAAATATGAGAATTTCATTAAAAATAATATAAAAAAGAAACTATATTCACCCTGCTGCAGAATTTGAGGCCATGGTGTCTATGTCACCAATAGGGTTAAATTCGCCATTCATTGATTAATACTGAGCCAGAACTGTTCCAACTCAGACGCCATCAGAATTGGCCCAGGCCGTTAAATCAGAGTAAACTTTCTGCTGAGGTAAACTGTGGTACTTTAAACAGATGCTACAGAGTCTCTCTCTCCAGTCGGTGTACAGTCTCACTTTCCACTCTTGTTTCCAGGTAAAATATTCACCATAGCGTTTTTTGTCCTTTGCCAGCTCTTGCAGATACTTCGCTAATTCTTTTACTGATGCAAACTCATCAACGTGGATGAAGGACTTAGGTGGGGCCACAGCTTTATAATCGCTCAGCGGCGGTCCCAGGACAACAGGCACTGCCCCACCTTGATAAGCATTCTTCCACAACTTTTCTGTGATATAATCTTTGGAGACTGAGTTCTCAAAAGCCAAATAGAAGTAGCAGCGAGAGATTGTAGGTAAGAGGTCAGCGGATGAAAGGAGGGTCTTTGTCCATTGCCCATAAACCTTCACAGGAACTGCAGCATTAAGCTTGCTGTACACTTGGCTTCTCTTGTGGTGCTTCTGGTAGTTGCTGACCACCCAACAGACCAGAGTGCTCTTATTCTGAAGGTTGTTTGTCACCAGATGTCCTCTGGTCTCCTTTGGTAGCAGCTCGCCATACGGTACCGTGACATCAGAATCCCTCCTGTAGGTTATGGTCATGTTGAAAATATTTGCATACTGATGCAAATTTCCATTGTGAACTGGGGACTCCAGGGACATCCAGGCCCACCTCTGCAACTGCGGCCGTGGAAGAGCTAATGGCAGTTTCTGGCGTCCCTGCATCAGCTCTCTGTTGTGGAAGACCACCACATCGGCTGAAGAGAACAAGGTGCGCTTGTCCACCAGTCTGCAGCGAGGGATGCGGTAGAGGTCCCAGCACACGTCGCCCTTGAGGTTATAATGCATGTCGAAGGGCCAGTACCACATCAAGATGGTCACAGTTCTGTTGCTGCTGTTGCTGCTGTTGCTGCAGCAGCTGCGGCTGCTGCTGCTGCTGTTGGCTGTCAGATCATCAAGCCCTCCCAGCCAGATGTTGTAAAGACAGAGCATTAAAACACAAAGGATGGGGATGAGGATGAACCTTTTCATTTTCAGTGTTATCACCTCCCTGTCACAAAAGGGAATCAAGAAGTAGGATTATGAGGGAGTAATATTTGTGTCTTTAACATTTGACTGAAACAAATGTTCAATCCATTGACAATATTTAATCTCGTTTACTGAAACTAAAAGTTTTTCACAAGACCCCACCACAGATAAATGTCTATAAAGATGGAGGAAACCAAATCATCTCTATCTGCAGAGTTGGTCATAAATATTGCCTCTTCCATGTGAGTGACTGACCAAATTAAAAATTCAACATGCTCGACAAATGACCTTTTCTCAAAGATGGCTTTTGTCATTTTATGTAGTTTTTTAATCACACTATGTTCACATGCTCGTTATTCCAGTACGTTTGGTTTTGATTTGTTATTTGATGCTATGCAAATGGTGTCAAACAACTTGGTTGACAACTGACCTGCAATTGGTGTGTATCGGCGGAGGTTCCATCCCTCGGCTTCACTTCTGTAAAGTGTGTGAAAGTACAGACGAGCTGTCACCTCAAATCTGCCTGTGACTTACAGTATGAAGAGGCGTCACCTACACATACTCCCATCAGAGACCACCACATTTCAACACTTTTCAACATTACTGCTGGGCAGGCTCTTCTTTTCTAGAGAAGCTCTAAATTGCCACCACTGCTGTACTCACAGATATCACCATGCATTAATATCCACCATTACAATAAAAATGTTTCCTGATAACCCAGGAAGCAATCAATCTTCTCTTCAATCAGATTGTGGCACAAAGACATTTCAACGTATTTGCTGGCTAACTTAGAAAAAAGTAATTTGTGGTTGTAATACTTATCCTCCTTCTAAAACTTGCTAAATGCTGTCTCTGTTTTTCTCTTGGAAAAGTATATGGGACATTATAAAGATGAACAGAAAATGATGTTAAACAGTTCACTATGCATAAGAACCTGTAAATGAACCTTATACAAATATGGAACCAACAAAGACTCATTCTGTAATAGTCCTCATTAGTCCTCATTAGTGTACAAGAGAAATAAGCAGGAAAGAACACAGTCCCGAGGGGACCCACTGGAAGATACAGGTGTGTACAGGATAGAGAAACATTAAATCAGACACTCTGTTCTCTGCTTGTAAAAATCAATCAGTCACAACAGGAAGCAATGTTAAATCTAGGTTAAAGGATTTCATTTTATATTCAAGTTTGAAAATAAACCATTATTGATGTAAATCAACTTGAATCAATGTATCTACTTCTCTTGTCCATACTTTTTATTGACTTTAGGGCTCTGCATTAGTTCTTGGTGTCTTTTTATTGTTTAATGTAATTTTGATATCGTATTTTTTGTATATTCCCAGCCTTTGTAAAGTGCCTATAATTGCCTTGTGTCTCGAAAAATGCTAAGCATACAAACTTGATGCTGATGATGTACAATGAGAATATCCAGATGGACAAATATTTGGAGAAACTGAGGTTAGGTTTTGACTCAACCATTAGGTGTTTAAACAGGAAATGGTGAAAGGTCTATGTTGGCTCTCCTCGCCAGCTGTACAGAGTGTTAGAAGGTGCAACAGTCATATTAAGTCAGGATGCCAAGACCAGATAAAACAAAAACTCAGTGTCATCCACTAACCTGATCAGGAGATTCGTTGTTTGTGCTCCACTCTCATTCACAGATTTCATTTTTTGGTTGCTACAGGAACAGACACAAGTATCTGCAACAGGAAGAGGAAGAACCAAACTGTTTCTTAACCGTCAAATGACTCATTGTGAAATGTTGATGTGTCGACACATTATCCCAGGTGTCCCACATGATTTAGTGATCTCCAGTTTGAGAGGTATACTGTTAAAAATGTCAAATGCAGAACAATAGAAAAAAGAAGAGGAGAGGTTGAAGTGGTTATGTGGACAGTTCAAATACTAAAGCACTCAAGCCCAACGATGCCCTTAAATTGAATCAAGCTACACCAAATTGCATACACTGGGTGGATGTATTAGTCCCTTGGAAATTGGTTAAAAAAAATCTCATTTGCAATTTTAAAGACAATGAAGTAAAAAATATTGCATCCTTTCCTCAAGTTTTGTGGTAATTCATCGTTTTTTGTGAAGGAAATAATGCAGCGATCTTGACAAAATTAATCGGACATATTCTAAACAGAAGTATGAGTCAACTGAAACAAAAGAGAAGTAAGGTAAAGATGATTAACACATGCAGTCATGTCGGTGCATCTTGTTTTCTTGGGTCATTCAGGCAGATGATTCATCCAGAAACTCTTTTTGCGTCACCAGTGTTGTTTAAGATCATAGAAGGGAGAAACACCTTTCATTGAGATCTAAAACAAAATAAAAACAACAAATTGCTTTAATTAACAATGAACAATCTCTAAATCCAACTAGAGGATTCCACAGCACAAAATCATTGACTGACTGTCACACCCTTTATGATTTTCTCTCTTGTGCCCATGAAATGACACCGGCCTGCGTGGCAAGAGCCATATCTCCACAAATCTGTCTCTGATTGTGTGCTGTGGGATCTTTATCTCATTCCACCCAGCTTGCAACCTTCTTGTCTCTGTATGTCGGCTCGCTCGGGGGCCGTTCTCCCTCCTCTTCTCTAGTCACAGAAAGCAGTAAATACCTGCTACATGAGAGCATTTTTCTGCCAGCCATGAATGCTGATCGACGACTGAAAGTACGCTGAGGGACGAAGGCAAAAAATACAAAACATATCAGACATGAGGGGAACAAGCCAGAGGCAGCAAAACACATACACTGTTGACACAAGGGTGAGAGAGAGACAGAGAGTGACAGGGATAAATGGAGGCAGGTTACATGAGGTGACAGAAAGGTGAATATTGTGTCCCATGACTATTCTCAATTCCTCATTCTGACATGATTAAAACAAATGTGATCAGAGATATTTTTCTTTGCGGTCAGTTTTGATTCCTTTCCTTAGTTCAAATTAAGAAGAAGCTGAACGCTCCAGCATTCAATGATGGTTTAGTCAGACTTCTTACTTTGTGGCAGCAGTTTGACGGGGGCCATTTCTGGTTTCAACATGACGCCACCTTGTGCTCAAAACCATGTCATAAAGAAACACAGTTACTGTCTGAATCTGTTGTGGAAGAGCTGGACTGGAATGCACAGAGCCCTAACCTCAACATCATTAATGTTCTCTGCTACAAATCCATGACAAATACTTTCTCAGAAGCGTAGGAGCGGTTATAGCAACACATACGATTACAAACAATTGATGTTAGATGGTCAACGATCAAACATGACTTAAATCTTCATCATACTTTTAGACCATTTTATGGTTGTTTTGTTTGGATTACACGAAAACTACTCAGAGAATAATTCTTGAGTCTTGATGAAGAAAATCAGACATGTTTAAAGGACTGTAATTTATGATTGTGTGTAATTTGGTGCAGATCGGAATCTAGATCTAGTGAAATTAAATGTGGTTTCACCAGGGGACTGTCGGGCCTTGGCGGAGGTATGAACTCTCTGAGTTTTTGGGTCAGGTCATTGGGTTTTATCTTGTAAACAGTAGGTATTCTAGTTTGAATATACATTTTTTAATTACACTGTCGTCTCGCATGTCAAGAAGTGAACAGAAAGTGGCTGACAAAAGGCAGATTCAGACCAAAGTGGACGGACTGGGTCAGTAGGAGATCCAGAGTGACACTTTTATCTTATAGAATTTGCTGGAAGGCTGAGAGGTTGAGAGGAGAGATCCAGCTATGCTGGTTGGACTGGAAAGGCCGGAGGGGGCGTCGGCTGCCTTGCAAAGCTTGACAGGTGTGGTGAGAGACAAACAAAGAGCGCACTCAGTGGAGACAAGAGGCTCGACTGCTGTGTCTGAAGAAGGAGCAGTGGAACAGTGGAATAAAAAAACAGGTGGAGTTAAGATAAAGCCAGAGTGACCACCAGTCCTGTGTGAGTATTGCCAGTTTCATCAAAACCTTGATGGAGTGAAGTGTGTGAGAGAGTGTGTAGGAGGGAAAGCAAAAAAGTTAAGGATCTAAACTTTACATTTACACTTTCTTTTTAAAATCTCTGCATCAACAGTGTCAGAAACAAATCCAGGAGAGGAGAGGAGAGGTGGACGCTACCATGCAGAGAGAAATAGACAGAAACACAGAAAGAAAGATGGCCGAGGCCCCGAAGATTGAACTCTTCGTTAAGGTAAGAACTGAAATACTTGAGATGTGTCATGCGTTTGAAATAATTTGCTTTAAATGCGCACAACAGAGTTAAATAAAATCGTATAAATGCAATAATTGTACCCAGAGTTAAGTACACTGGCAATTATCCAACATATACATTAACCATTCAATTTCCTTGTATCATTTCCTTGTATTTCTTGTGCGAGACTGTTAAACACAATCAAAGAGTGTTTGTTGCAATAATAATCAGTGCCTAAAAACTCATAACACACATTTCACAGTACCCAGGTATATACAGCTGAGAGCTGTGGCATATACATGTGTGTACATATACATGTGATAATCTATGATGTAGCTGAGGAAGCAAATACCACATAAATACTGTGTTTATTAATCTGGGTGGAAAAGCAGCCTCAACCCTCCATTTAAAATTCCTTCAGATTTCCATCGCAGAGCAGGCTTGACAAGAATACCTGTGCAGGCATTCCCACTTTGGTCAGATGCATTACAGCATGAAAACCACTGTACCAGTGTGCCATGTTTAACATGTGTTTGCCTTTATTGTTTTCACTTGTTTACGAGGAATGGAACTGGTTTTATTTATTGTCCTTGTGTGTTTCAGTGTTTTTCCTGCCAGTTTTCTCTTTCTCATGTGTTGTTTCAGTTTCTCTGTCGCCAGAATGTTATCAGATGAATGAATGTTTCTTTGTATTCATCTCTCCCTTATGTGCATGTTGAACTTTTGTTGCCACTTTTCTGTGTTTTCGGCTCCTGCTTATATCCGACTGCCCCGTCTGCCTTTGGGTCCTTCCCCTGTGTTTTGCGATCCCTCCTGCAGTGGTTGTGATTCTTCATGATCTGTTTTTCCATCAGGCCAGTGTGGATGCTGAGAGTGTAGGCAACTGCCCTTTCTGTCAGAGACTCTTCATGATTCTTTGGATGAAAGGGGCCAACTTCACCCTCACCACTGTGGACATGAAGAGGTGAGAGCACTTATTTTTGAAATCTCAGCAAATATCTTTTGGTTGCATTTATGGCCATACATGTTCTACTAGGGTTCATGTTGTTGTTCCCGGCCCTTGCAATGCATATAGTGACTGTACAGGAAGGGTTGAAGTTATGCATAACACTAACATGACAAAGTGTTGAGGGTGTAAAGGCAATAACCTGATGTTTAAATGCTTGTCATTACCTCAGTGTTGCCTCACGCAGGGCTGCAGGGGGATTGGAGCGCTAAGAGAGAATGCATTGACTGTAAAATGTGCAATAGTCACAATGAGGCTGTAATAATAACACATCGACAGACAGCTTCTTCGTCCTCATTGATGCAGTTTTCAATCAGATAAACTAACCCAAAGGCTTTTTAAGTCTGTGGAAGATAAGTGGCATTCCTGTCTAGCAAGATCAAACCCTACAGAAACTACCTGTTCTTTGTCCCCAGACATCCTTAATATAAAACATAGGAGTAATGACAAATGATGATAATAATCCTGATCATTATCAGGAAATAGAATCTACAAATGGTAGAAATCATAAAAATTAAGCATTAAACTGAAGATCTTCTTAGTTACAGTCCTACAGGAAAGTAAATGGTAAATGGATTGTATTTAATTGGAGTTTTTCACACATGCATTCGTGCAGTGTTACTATATACTGCACGTCTGTCACACACCACCTGCAGAGCCTTCAGGGACAATTTGGGTTAGGTATCTTGCCCAACAACACTTTTGGCATGTGGACTGGAGGAGCCAGGGATTAAACTATCAATCTTATTCTTAGTGAGCAACTTGCTCTATAGCCCCTGAGCAAGTGGCAGCTGGAAAAAAAAGAATCCACCAGGGTGTGAGAAAGTTATGATTCATGTACTTGTGACTTAATTTGACTTATTGGAGTTGGATTTGGAAGAGTAAGTAATATAGATGACTTGGAGATATACTGTGTTGTGTGTGACTGTGCTCTCTCTCTGCAATATGAAAAAGGACATTTAAAAAAAGTTTGTCATTATCTGATGGATGCGGATGATTTAAAACCTGGTTTGTTTCCTGTTCTTCTGCTGCAGGGCACCTGACGCTCTGAAGGCTCTGGCTCCGGGCTCTCAGCCTCCCTTCCTCATCTGCAATGAAGAGGTCAAAACAGACACCAACAAGATAGAGGAGTTCCTGGAGGAGACGTTGGCCCCACCACAGTGAGTGGACTACATCCGGTTCATTCAAACACTTTGATGATACCTTAATACGTTACTCTGGTATATTCTTCAAGTCTTGAAACAGACTATACTATCTATTCTCTAAACGGCAGGTATCCAAAATTGTGCTGTTGTTACAAGGAGTCCAACGGCGCTGGAGAAGACATCTTCCGAAAATTCTCAGCATATATAAAGAATTCCATTCCTGGACTAAATGACAGTAAGGACATTGGTTCAAAGATGGATTTGTCGAATTGATTAATTTATTTTTCATTTGCAGGAGATGTTAACACCTGACTTTCTTTCAGCGCTAGAGAAGAAATTTCTATCGACTCTGGTGAAGCTGAACATGTACCTGGAGACGCCTCTTCCTCATGAGCTGCAAAAGAACCCCAATGCCAACGAGTCGTCTCGTCTCTACCTGGATGGTGACTCCTTCACCTTGGCGGACTGTAACCTGCTTCCCAAACTCAACATTGTGAAGGTGAGCAGAGTTCAACAGTAATTTGTGTATAAAAAAAACTTTAGTTCCACAATGAATGACAGAAATCTCCTTTATTATCTCACTGGTGAAACCCCTCTTCCTCCAGGTGGTGTGTAAGGAGTACCGTGATTTTGCCATCCCCAAGGCGTTGAAAAGTCTGACGCGTTACCTGGACAACGCCTACAAACAGGATGAGTTTCGCTACACCTGCCCAAAAGACTCAGAGATCCTCTATGCCTATGAGTCTGTGGCCAAGTACCTGAACAAATAGAGTAAGAGGGAGACATGAAGCATACGTGAGATAAAACCTCAAAACTGCACATGATTTATGTTTTGAGTCCAAATACTGGAAGTCTGGATAATAAAAATTGTTTGCAGTGATGTTTGTTCGCAATAATTAGTAGCTGTTGTTTCTTTAAAGTTGCTTAAAATTTGTATTTGTAGATATTGTCTGTACTGTTGCATGCTCTTATACTGACGTGGATTTCTTCTTAAGCCCCTGTAAGAGTGAGAAAGCACTGTAAATCCCACAGAGTGTTTGTGTAATGTCTTATTGTGCATGTATTGTGTCTAAGATTACTCAATACCAATTGCAGACATATTCAGTTACATTTTCATGTCAATCAGGTGAAACAAAACCTCAAATTTATGTAGTTTTACCCTTTGGAAATGTTTAAAACAAATGAATAAACCAGATACAGACATTTTGCTTAAGTTTTTAAACTGTCCCCCTGACAGAGGATACAAAGACAAAATCAATGTCTGCATTTCCGTTGTTTCAGTAATTGAAAGAAAATAAGAGTATGTATATATATATATATATATATATATATAAATAAAATGATGCGAATAATGATAGAATAATTGAGTTCCGTCCAATTATAAGGTTATTTTTGCATAGTGGAATAAAATAAAAAAGTAGTGTGAAGATCTTATTGTTGTTTTCTTAATATCTAGTGTGTTGCAGGAAAGGAGCAACACCGTATACAGTTTTTATTTTATTGATTGCAAATGTGTATATAGTGTATGTCCACACCTGTATGTGTAACTTCCGTCATTTTACCCACCTGTCTTGATGTGTTTGTAATGTAATGTAATGTAATGTAATCTTTGTTGCCAGAAACAGAAATAAAATAAAGAAAATTTTATAAAAAGGTCAAAAAGTAGGTATGTATTCCACTGCATTGTGGCATCATTGACATTTTTTTAACATCTTTGTAAAAAAAGCATTGAATTGAGGCAAAAGAAGTTGAATAGCTTTTTCAAAAATAATTTACACACAACAATCCAAGACAGGGGAACAAAAGTACTATATCTGTCAAATATGATGAGTTTTATTATTCAGACTCAGGGTCCAGTTAAAATACAACACATCAAAGATTGAATAACATACAACAGCCAATAATATTAATATATAAATATTAATGTCTATAATAAAAGATGACTTAATTTTCAGTTTCAATAAAAACTGTGGAGTGAGAATATTGTATTTATTTCTTACATGTGGAGTAGTAGAGGTATAAAGTGGCACAGATACACCTCAGTATTTTAGGTAGTACTTCAAATCAAATCAAATCAAATCGAAAATGTCTACAGCAGCTGCAGAACAGTACATTGTACAGCAAAAAACAATACAGAGGGACATATCGTGTAAGAGAATAATAATGTAGAATAAAAGTGAGTTAAATATTGCACCTGTCCTAAAAACACTTAAAATGATAAAACACTGAAACTACATGACTCATAAAAGAGTAAATATACTAAGTTACTTTCCAGCACAGTGGTTTTAATATGAGATATTAAACATTACTGTAGTACTTCTATAGTATTCGGTACTCTTTAGTGGTGCAGAACATCTGGCTCCTGTTCTTTTCATGTGGATGTAAACAGGAAGTCCAGAAAGCGCCTGGTCCGCCCCGGATTGGACGAACGCTCTGAGCGGTACCAAGGCAACGGCAGAAATCAAACACCCCATTGGCGGACGTGGGGTCGTGGGCGGGACTAAGCCCGTGGCAGCACACAGAAAACTTTGTTAGCTTGTTCGCTAACATCGAATCATCGTCTGTTCAGAAATGACACGAGCGTGAGGCAGCGCGACACAAACCACTGGAAGGTCAGACCCGTGTGTTCTGCTCCGTGAGCGTTTCATTACGCTTTCACCTGAAGTTGACGTCGGTTATTTTAGGGGAAATGGCAAGACGGCTGGGCTAGCTAAGCTAACATTAGGCTATAGCTAACGTTGAGAGGATGTTGAGTAACCAATTGAATTCAACGCCAGCTGACGATGTTACTGCGTCGTTGATTTAATCACAATAGCTCGACTTGTTTTGTCATTGTATGTAAATCAAACAGGAAGACAGAATGTGAAGGTGGTTGACTCAATGCTCATAGTTTACTAATCATAGTTCTTTTTTTCCGAGTTTCCCCTTTACCCAACAACTCTCCTCCTCCTCCTCCTCTGTGACATGTTACCTTCTCACATGAACCCTCATCTCACCAGCTGTAGTGTTTTTTATACATGTTTAAAGTATTGTTGTATTTCAGGATGCATTGCGAAGGCGGTGATGACGTGTGCAGATGGGCCACTTCAGTAAGTGAAACTTGTGGGAAACCACCGACAGCTGCAGCTCATGGTGACATGAGTACAGTTGTCACCATGAGCTTTTCAATCTCTGCTAAAATCACACAGTTCACACAGTTTTCATAACAGCTGAAGTTCACCACAGGTTATCAATGTCACATGTTTTTCAGCTGCAACATGCAGTTTCAAATTCTACACTACGGTACCCTTTCAATACAATTTAAAAGCCTCTACAGCAATACAGTAATGCAGCAGTGATATTAATCCAAACACAACATAGAACCCTGACAGGGACCCTTTCTCTGAATAACCAGTGCTGTTTGTTTTGATAATTTAAGGAGATATTGTTAAGAATGCTACACTGCTTGAGCACCCATAAAAGGGCCTAAAATTATTATTCCTTCGATTCAAGACATTGTGCCATTTCCAACCTATGTTTGTAGGTGCTGCTGAACAGCAAACATGAAATCAGCGCTCGAGTTCAGCAGTTTGTGGAGGAGAGGATGCAGACCACCATGGTATGGAATACACAAATAAATTATTGAATGTTTGTTTTCAGTGAGCTGGACTCTGACCTGTGTGGTGAGGAAAGGGAGGTTGATTAGTAAAGATGCATTATATTCCCTGTACAGTATGCAGTGTGAATTTCAGAAAGAGACCTATCCAACATATTGGCCCATGCCTCTGATTAGTAAGAGTTCAGCAGGCTTGGCTCATTACGGATAGCTGATGTTTTTGTAACTGGTTTTGAGTTTCAGTTGAATTTGGCAATGCAGTCTGCAGGGTTGTAGAAGCTGTTTCCTATCAAGGGCCTTTACAAGTTGTTTTGAACATCCTTTAAGGGCTGTACTCCTATAATAGACATTTGTTAAAAATAGTTTTTAGCTCAGTGATTTTGTGTTCCAAGTTGTCTGTCAAATCAGCAGTTTTCACATGAAACAGCTTAACAAACAGATTCAGTTCCTTTTTTGTACTTTTCATATCCTCTCAAGCATTGGTTATGGGTCTACTGTGATTTTTCTTTTTTTCCTCATGTTATCATTGAGAACATAAAACTTGCACAAAACCTGCTTAGAATAAGTATATGATATCTAACAGGGACACAGCTTTGGACATTGAATGACAGTGTTATTTAACCAGCAGCTCTAATGTCCTGTTCTGTGTGCAACTACACTGTATTCCCCTTTCATGTGACCATACTGTTGTGTTGATGCTCGTATCTGTCTTTTAGCTCACTGGTGTACTGATAGGAGCTGCAGTCGCCGTCTCACTGATTGGCATTGTGGTCCTCTTCCTTTACAGGAGATACAAGCTTGCTCGTGAGTCTTTCAAACGCTTCCTGAGCTTTATATTTATTGTAATGCTTTAATAACCTTTGTTATTTCAAGTAGTGACAGTGACACTCTGCATCAGCTTAAAATTAGATCCTGTGTTAATAAGTACTAGTTTATAAGCTTGTTTGGTGGCTGGACATCGCCCGACCCTAGCTGCTATATTTGTTTTGTTTCTTGTGTATTATAAGTTATAAGGCTCTTCAGGGAAGTGTGTGTGTTTGTGTATATATAAATTATCTTCAGTTTTCTTCATAACGTGCTCTCATCACAACTATATGCATTGTTGTGTCACAAGGTAAACAACAGCCAGGTGCTCCTCAGTATCGCTTCAGGAAAAGAGATAAAGTGCTCTTCTATGGAAGGAAGATCATGCGAAAGGTTTTCTCCATTTCCACAAACACATGCGGTCTGATAGATTCATCTTTGTCCACATTTTATAGAAATACAGTAGGCCATTATGAGATACTATCACTAGTTGTGCTGTATGAATATAAATGTTCTCTGCATAAAACTAAATTGAATCCTTTCCCCCATGGCTGAGTGGTGTTATCTTGCATGAAATTAAGTCTACTTTATCCACCGGCCCTATTCAATATAATGCAAGACTGAAAATGCGTTGCATGCATTTAGCTAAGTATTGAACATATATCCTCAAATCAAGCTTTTTAAAAAATTTTCTTCTCATCTTTCGTAATTAGGTTTACAGTTGCTTAGAACAAATACACAAAATGAATGTTTGTCTGCAATTAATGAAATGTTTTTTAAAAATGTTTGTTTTTGTATGTAAGGTCCAGACGTTGTCGTTGATTCCAACCCCCTCCTCCACCTCAGTATCAAAGCAGTCGCAGCGCATTCGCAAAAGAACCAAAGTCCTAAGCATAGCTCGCAAGTATGTATCAATCCTTATTTAAAATGTTCCATGTGCTTTTTAAAAGAACTGAGCATATTGATTATTGGAATTTCTTTTTTTTTAACTTTCAACAGAATCCTTCGGATCCGTAAAGACCCTCCCACCCTGCAGCCCAAGGAACCCCCTCCCTCACTGCTGGAGGCTGACTTAACAGAGTTTGATGTGCAGAGCTCAAACCTGCCCTCTGAGGTCCTCTACATGCTGAAGAATGTCAGGTAGAGTAACAATACATTTCCCACACATTTAGCCTCTTCAGTTGTTTTTTCACAATGTCTTTTCTTTCTTCAACTTGCTGCAGGGTCTTGGGACATTTTGAGAAGCCCCTGTTCCTGGAGTTGTGTCGCCACATGGTGTTTATTGAACTGCAGGAAGGCGAAGGTCTGTTCAGGCCGGGAGACGATGACGACAGCATCTACGTGGTGCAGGATGGACGACTCGAGCTCTGTATCCAGGAGAACGTATGTTTTCAATTAATTTGCTTATCAAACCGAATTAATTTGATTTTGTCATACAATGGTTCTCGTCCACTTTCACTTTAAGTGAGTAACTTATTTATCACACATCTATTCGGTCCCATTGTGTATAATCAAAATGTATAACTTTAAAATAGTCTGTCTTACAGTGGAACAATAGTCAGACGAGCCACAGAAATGAAAAGATAAAGTGATTTAATTTAGTCCATCACTTTGGGTTTTCTGCAGACAATTGATGGGACAAACCTACATAGTACCCAAAGCTCTGGGTCTCCACTGTTTTCCTGGAAATTGCAAAATCAAGGCTCCATTTGGCCTGGACAAAAGTCTCTTCCTCTTCCCATAAAATAAGTTAAATTAAATAACTATTGTTCATTATATTAAATAACTTGCATCATAAAATACTTGTGAAAAACAAGTCTTCTAACATCTACAATGGATTCAGACACTAAACACCAGCTTTTGCATTTGTAGAGAAGTTAAGAATCCATTGTGTGTCTTTTTAATGGTAGGTTTTACATCCATGTTGCTGCTGATTGGGCAACACCAAACGATAGAAAACATACTTGGAAGCCTGTTGTACACCTGTCGCGGATGTCACCAAGGAGGATCTCTGGATTTAGTGCCACTTAGACTCAGGTGGCATCGATCTCTGCTCCGTGGAGTAGCTCTCATTTTAATTGTACAAAAATATGAATCAAATGCACCCTCTCAAAAGACATAATAATCAAAACACAAAGATTTTTATCAGAGTTGAAGAAAAGGTAAACGTTCCCCCTCTTTGGAACTGACTCTATTACAGCAGAAAACATTATCCTTCTTAAAGGGTCATGCCGGTCAGGGAATTAAAGTCCACTACAGAAGAAAAACTGTGTGGACACTGTTACGGCCCCAGCCCATGTCTGTGTCCTGTCTGTGTATGGTGTGTATGCTGTGTGGGTGTGTCTTGCAGGTTGCTGATTGTTAGCCGGCTGGAGGTTCYTGTGCAGGGCTCCCTGATTGGCTTGCTGTTATAAACCCCCTGCCGTGGGCTGTCTCTCTCTCTCACTCATCCCTGAGATCTCCATCCTGCTGCATCTACTTTTGTT